CGTGAAAGCATAAGTAAACATACAAACTAAAACGGTCTGTTAGGAGGGGTATGTACTAAGGGCCTGTTTACATGGAGTGGGGGACCCCGGTCTAGTGGGGTAAGTTTCTTTTGTTTTCACGCTCTGGGGGACACAAAACAAAAGAACCTAACCCCACTTGACCAGGGTCCCCCACTCCATATAAACAGGGTCTTAGGTCACCCTGGGAACAGGGGTTACAAAACTGAAATCACCCTTTTCTATTATTATGTCGCTCAATCTATTTCATTCTTTCTGTTCTTTTTGGCTACATTAAATAAGAAAATCCATATTAAAAAGAAATTCACTAGCCGGGAATCGAACCCGGGCCTCCCGCGTGGCAGGCGAGAATTCTACCACTGAACCACCAGTGTCTTGTTGACCGACTCATTTCCTTAATGGTAGCACTATGGTTGAATTTATCATCAGGTCATAATAAAAAAAAAGGTAGAAAAGGTTGATCAAATAATCTCGGAGCAAGAGGTCCATCATCTTGGTGTTACATGTATAACAGTCGTGTCGTGTTTTTTGTTTTGTTTTGTCTTATTTTTAACTTATTTTAAGAAGAGGGGGGCGCGACTTATCGAAACTTTACATTACGACTTTTCCCTTCAAATCGTATTATGAGATCACCTTCAGATCAAGTGAAGACCTGACCCTTCCCCAGTCATCTCTCTCTACTTTCCGTGTCTTACTAAAGTGAAAAGTGGAAGAGACTTACATGCGCGAGGGGCCGAATGGAAAGGAGGAATAAGAAAGTCCTTTCCAGGTCTCTTTACTTTTCCTTTCCGTCGTTCCTTTCGCAGCAAGAAAGTTGCTTTAATCAACAAGAACGTACATTGGTGACACACTCGTCAACGGCTCGTGTGTCACGTTTCTGTTTTTATCACTTTCTTACGTCATCTGTGATCTATTACTGAACAGACCTAATGCAACATGAAATTTACCGTACAATTCCGAAAATAGGCTCCGAAGGTTATCTTTATCTAAAGGTGCCCTTTTTAAGAGGCTTATTTTTGGAGGGGCGTATATTCGGAGATCCTTATATACCGAGGGATCTTTTCGTCTCAAAATCGGCCAGGCTTATATACTACTGACTGGTAGGGAAATATGCGTCTCAAAATCCGTGCGTTGGTCTAGCTTATAGTTGGAAGGAAATTTATGTCGGTAATTTGCAGCAACTTTTTACTGAAACTTGCCTTGGGGTCGTAGATCTTTCTAAAACTCAGCCATGCAAGTATTTTCTTTTATGGACCAAGGAAATCCAAGCCACAAAAACAGCAATATACTATGACACTTTTCGACGGCAATCATTTGGCACACGTAATAGTTTTTAAGCAAATGCAAAAAAATATGAGTTACTGTACAGTTTTTGCTTTGTTATATTTTTGAATGTGAGGGTTATTTTCCGAGTATATGCCCCCGGGGCTGGTATTTGGAGGGGCTATTTATCGGAGGATTCTTTTGCGTTTCGAGTTTGGGGCGTTTATATTCGGAGGGGTTACATGGAGGGGCTTGTTTTCGGAATTTACGACATTTGTGTGATAGAAAGGTAACCGGCTCCTGCAAAAAGTAAAATTAAAGATTTTTCCTTTCACTGACACAGGCGAGGCCGTGAAAATCTTTCTTAGAAGAAACAATGACTATTTGCAAACCTGTTGTCAGCGGTGAAATTGCAACCGTACTTATATTCCTTTTCTCAGTACACTGTAAAAGCTCTAGTGAAAACGGTAACCTGCCGAATTTCCACTCATGCACGTGCTGAAATCATGCCATTGTCTACGATTCTCAAAAGAAGGAAGAACGAAAACATAAAGGGGAAAGGAATGAAGATTTAGGAAGTGTGTTTCTTAACCAGGAGCCTTTAATAAATAATAGCCGTAGTCAAAAGGCTCCTGGTTAAACTAGCATATTGTATTTGTAAATTAATATTGCTTTAATCATTCGTAAAGAACGATTAAACTCTTCTGAGCAAAGTATTTTAAATCACAGCAAAAAAAAAAAATCCCAGTTTAACTCGGTTAGATCACGACCTACGTAGTCAGATAAGAAACTACAAGGAGGTCACGACTTGATATTTTTTCTCTCCTTTGTGAAGAGATCATTACTATATTGATAAAAGCTTAGCAACAGAACCTTCAAAGAATATAACATGGAAACACCCATCCCTAAAATCATGATCAGAAAAATAATCTAAAGGTTATCCCGTCTTTTAAAGTTCCTTATTTGTTACTTGATATAAGCATCGTAGTTATTCGAGAACTTGTGTTGGGTTTTGTTGCTCGATGATCATGACGTGGTTTGAAGATAAGCATCAAAGAAGTCGTGTTGGAGCTTGTGTGGTTAGCGGTGAATTAAAATTCTTATCAATAAGAAGCATCACCTACCTGAATTTGTGGGGATGATAGAGATCAGTAACAAAAACAAGGCATCAGTCATCATTCATATGACATTGTATTGAATTTTACTGTTGTTAAAACTACGCAATCATTTCAGCGCGATCTCTCTTTTGGCCGCCTAAGATCTCTATCCCGGCCCAGGTCTACCATGTAAGCGTGTAGATATGAACATGTACTAAGAAGCTGTAAAGGTTACTCCAGAAAAAAGGCCAACTCCAAGAAAACGTGCGTGGAGTCTATGCATACGTAAATAAAAGATAAGATGATAATGAAGATAAAAATGAAAACAATACCTACACGTATAACGACTTACTTTCAAAGGGGAGTTTGTTCGAGAAGGAAAACACACACGTATAACTACCATAAAAGGAAATGAAATAAGAAAGTAACCAGCAACGGTTGCTATTTTTATTGGTGAACACGCAGCACTGGTCCGTTCAGTTTGTTCTGGTTCAACTCCTATCATCATGATGGTACAGTATTTCGCTGTTTTCCTGATTCTCTCTTGTACTGGCGGTTCACTGGGAACAACCACCTCACCTCAGCAACAAGATGACGGAAATTCAAAAGATTTATGCGAGGTATGAAAGAATAATAATGTTTTTTTCTGACATTTCTGGCTGATTTCTCGGGTAGTGAGGGAAAAAAAAAACACTGCATAAAAAAAGTTTGCTACGAAGTATATACAGTCGACTCCCGGTAACTCGAACCCTCTATATTCCGAACCTCCCGCTAACTCAAAGCAATTTTCATTTCCCATCAAATAGTTTTCTATATAATTTTACCCCCGATAACTCGAACTCCCAACAACTCGAACTTTTTTCTGTTTCTCTTGAAGGTTCGAATTATCGGGAGGCGACTGTACCTTTTAAAAAATGTATTTCTTAGTTTCTCAATGGGAGACGGGTATCGTTAGCTGGTCGTATCATATCACAGGTAGCCCAAGCTCACAATCAGAGCCCTGCCATATCCATTACCGAATTATTTATTCATACGGCAAAAATTATAAGGCGTTGTATGAGAATTATCCTATTTCTCCATAATTGAGCGAAACGTGCTTTAATTTTATTTCTTTTAAGCTTGCATTTAGTATTTTATTATGTTTATTTGTGCGTTGACCGCGTTTCAGGCCTCATAGGATGCCCAGAACCCGAGAACAACACTACCCTTCTAAGCTAATTAATTATTCATACAGCAAGAAAATTATAAGACGTTGTATGACAAATATTCTTTGCTCACTAAAATTAATAAACTGTGCATTGAATATCGATTTTAAGCTTACCTTTAGCCTTTTCTTGTTTTTCTTTGCGTTCTGACTGCATTTCAGACCTCCTAGTGTTTATTACCTTTTTTTGAGCGACCGTTGTTTACCCGGATGACGGTAGAGGGAAGAGAAGAGCCAAGGGGGAGTCTAATAGAGAGTCTGTTGTTGTTCTTTACAATTGTGTCAGTCACTGCGTTTGCTTCAAATGTACATTAGGCTTTTAGTAACAACATGTCACTATATATCTGACACGCGATGCTTGACTTCCGCGACCCCGGAGTGCAATGTGAGAACTGAAACATCAGTTACTGTGCCCAGTAGGCTAAATGCTCCAATTGTCCTTTGACGGTTGAACAGTTTGACCCTGCCAGCCCGCATCGGTTTGAAATTGTCGACTTGACGGTTGGAGTCCGTTGCGGGTCTGCTCTCGACTCTCCTAGCCACGGCCGTGTATTGTCCACTTCGTTGGCGATTGCATGTGAATGATGGAAAATGTGCCTTATTCATCAGGACATTTGTTTCTGGCGGAATTGTCTCCATGTCGCAAATGTCACGAATTTATCGCCGCCGAGAGCGGAGGTTTGCCAGCCTTCTCTTCTCTTCTCTCTACTGTCATCAGGGTGAAAAAATGTCGCTCAAAAAAAGGTATAAACAGTGCCTAGGAGGTCTCAAATGCAGTCAGAACGCAAAGAAAAACAAGAAAAGGCAAAAGGTAAGCTTCAAAGCGATATTCAAAGCAGATTTTATTAATTTTATGAGCAAAGAATATTTCTTATACAACGTCTTATAATTTTCTTGCTGTATGAATAATTAGTTAGCCTAGAAGGGTAGTGTTGTTCTCGGGTTCTTGGCATCCTAAGAGGCCTGAAACGCAGTCAACACACAAATAAACATAATGAAATAGTAAACGCAAGCTTAAAAGGAAAATTTAAAAGCACGTTTCGCTCAGTTATGGAGAAATAGGATAATTCTCATACAACGCCTTATAATTTTTGCCGTATGAATAAATAAGTAGCTAATGGATAATGTTGCTCAGGGCTCTCATAGTGAGCTTGGCTACCTGTGATCATATCGATGGAATTAAGGATGGTGCTGTGCTTTTTTCAATTACGTGATTTATTATTATTATTATTATTATTAAGAAGTAATTTATTATTATTGTTATTATTATTATTATTATTATTATTATTATTACTATCATTATTATTTATCCAGGAGTTTAGTCGTCGTGGATTAACCGACGTGCTACAAACAATTTGACCCGATCACTTTTTCTAGCGTTATTAGAAGCCCTTTCTTAAATTCTTTAATAAATTCATCTTAATTTGCAGAAATCTATACTGGGTCATGGGTTTCCCGGCATTCCAGGGTCAAATGGCATGCCTGGAATGCCGGGTGTCCCAGGACCGCAAGGACCCCAGGGAAGGGAAGGTACAAAGGGACAGATCGGTGATAAGGGATCACAAGGAATGCCGGGTCCAAGAGGAGACAGAGGGCGCGAAGGACTCCCTGGGAAGAGCGGACCCCCAGGAATGAAAGGCATTAAAGGAGAAACGGGAATGGTGGGAATGAAAGGAGAGCGAGGCATTGTGGGAAATCAAGGAAGAAAAGGAAGCAAAGGAGAGAAAGGAGAAAGCGTCAAAGCAAGTCAAGCAAGTGTAGTACCACAAACCAACTGGAAACAATGTGTGTGGAAATCACAAACCAGTACTAACAACGGAAAGATTAAGGTAAGCAAGAAATATGCTAAATAATTGCTATAGATCACAAGAAAGGTAGATGATCTCATTCGATAGAAAAAGGTAGAAAAATTAAGATTTTACTCAAATTAACTTGGAGTCAATTAAATAGCTCTGAGAAGATAATTCTTCTTACCCTTCCCCCTCCGGCATGTCAGGTGATCATCACTCCGTTTAACCTCTTTCAGTTAATTTTCATTTCCTTTCCCATTTACTATTACAAGAATAGAGGTGTTCTTTTAAAATAGATTTTAATTGTTTTCCAGGAGTGTGCTTTTAACAAATTAAAGTCTCATTCAGCGCTCAAAGTCTCATTCCAGGGAAACATGAGGGTCTATGGTGATGTTAAGTGTAATCGCTGGTATTTCAAGTTCAATGGAAACGAGTGTAGTGGACCAATGACGATTGAGGCTGCTGTTTACAACGACTGGACATCAGGGAACTCTAATCTGCATCATCATCGGTCATTTGAGGGATACTGTGAAAACATTCCACAAGGCACAGTTAGAGTGGAATTATGGGTAGGAAAGTGTAGTAGTGGTCACGCCCTGGGTGATGCTTACACCGGATGGGAGTCAGTGTCCCGGATAATGATTGAAGAAGTATGTAGGCCCCAGTTATAGTCTGCCCAGTCTTTGGCCAGGTTTCCTATTTTATTTTCTCTGATGGTTTTTCTACAGTCGCCGATAGTGTAAAAGGATTGCAAGATCTCTGCATTTGTAATTTGCATTGTCATATTTCAAATGTTATTGACAAAAACTATATCAGTTTTTTGAAACAAGTTCAGGCTATCCTATTTCTTGAGATCGACCATTTTCTTGGAGTTAAAAATTTGAGGTCGAAATAAAGGTCCCAGAATTTTTGTTTAGTGTGTGAAAAGAATAAGAGGTAAGGTAAGACCGTGGCTCCTTTGGAAAATATTCTATATCGTACTTTTCATGAAAATTTTAATAATATTTTGGCACTCAAACTAGTTTAACGCGTATTTAACTAGTTTAAGACGCAGTGTTTTGTTCTCCGCACACGCAGTTTAAACCAGACTTGTGGACTTAAAAACTGTGAACGTCTACAATAACCCGGAATGATTGATGCGTGTTCGATATAGGTGTAGCTTTAATCACCATCTCGAAAGAAAAATAGGGACTGAAGAAATGAGATTAGATCAAAGGAAGAGTGGGAAACCTGAACTTCTCCATAGTTGTGATCATGATAGACCATTTCCGGGTTACGCAAAAACGAAAAAAATTGCCCTCTAGTAAGTTTTACCGAAAAAAAATAACAAGTAAAATGCAGTGTGTTAAAGGATAACTTGAGTATTCTTCCTTTTACAGTTGTATCAGTAGAAAGAAATGAGACTTTTTATTATTATTATCATTCCCTTTCTTCTAATAGAGAGTCTTTGTTATTGTTCTTTATAATTGTGTCAGTGCGTTTACTTCAAATGTACATTAGGCTTTTAGTAACAAAATATAGATATATATGTGTTATCTTTGTTACTTCTACCGAAAGCCAAGTGAGCGAGGTTCAAATTTCCTCTTCTCTAAATATTGAGAAGAAAAACAATATATGCTATCGCTGGATTTGAGTACGAAACAATCTGATCGGTGAAAATCGACGTCACTGAAATCCATGCGTCCTGCTGTCCTTCAGGTGAGTAGGGCGGGCTAATTTGCTGTGAAGGGGCTGATCATCGAGTTAAGAATGTGATAAAAATTTAGAAACATACTCTTCTTACGCGCCCAATTCGTTGTCGCATGCCTGAATTCTCTTGTTTGGCAAGCTACAAAATAGCAGAGGAATTTTGAGAAGGTTACCCTTTGAATGCTTCCAAACCGGTTTTATCCAAGGGATTTCCAAAAGGCATTCTGGAGCAATGGTATGAGAAGGCCCAAGCGTAAGATTTTTTGCGTGGTAGCGAAGAGCGAAAAGCGATAAGGCACATTGAAAAGACAAAACACAAAGCAACAGCTTTTAAAACCATCAAAAGTTTGATGATTTTGTTGTTAAATTTTATTAGCTAAACTCCATCATCTTTTTCGATTCCCGTCTTGCCTGCATGCACGTGAATAGAAACTGGACTTTACGAACCAATGATAGCCAATTAAAACAAGAAGAAGAAATTCGAGATTAACGAATAATTAGTCGTTTTTTTTTTTTTTTATGACATTAGATTATGGCATTATAGCATTTAACGCATTAAATATTTTAGTCCTTATGACGATACCGATACAGCATTTCGATTGTTTTGTTAATTCTTCCTCCCGGCTTGCGCGTGCAGTTCATTACTTCAGCTATACTACACCTCAAAACAGAAGGGCAACAAAAGAGATCAACCTTCAGGGGATAAAAATAACTATGTAGACCCAATACAGCTAAAACATGATTAGAAAAATAATCTTAAGTTAGACCATGTTGTCTAGTTCATTTGTTGGGAGAAAGAAGATGTGAGATAAGGAGGTTTAAAGATCAATATTTTAGCAATCTAATATGTGATCACGTCTGGACTTGTTTAGCTGGCTCTGAGCTGAATTTCTAATTTAACTGATACTTTAACTCCACTAAACTAGAAGTGGATGCACGCAAAAAAATTAAAGTGACCATAAAGTTTATGGTCTGTTAGAAAAAAAAAGAAAGCAAGGCATGTCTACAGAAATGAAGCAACATCGATTTTCATAGGACATAGTACCGAATTCTAAAGTTAAGTTACTTCCTTGTTTATGCACTGGGATAAGAAAACAACCTAAAAGTTACTTCAAAGAAGCGCGAAACAAACAAAACGTGCAAGTCCTTACATACACTGTAGATACGTAGTTAAACATTTTACACGGTGATTTGATTTGATTTTCAGACCCGAACGGGGCAAAAACCCTACCCGATGGGGCGGCACATACCTGTATGGCTTACATAAGGGAGTACCCCCCGGGGATTTACTTAATATACTGTGCAAAGCGTCGTCTCATTTATTCTAAGGTCAACGAGCATATAAGCATCGTTTTAATGTTTCAAAGAAGGAACAGTTTTCATAGCGATCACTCATAACGATGTGAACTATTGATAATTTGGTTCCAACCAGAAGCTTGTTCTTGAAAGAAACTTAAATATTTTATTGTTTCACTCGTTACTCGTTTCAATAGCAAAAACAATGTTTGCAAACGGTGATGTCTCCTATAACACCTCATAATACTCGCTACGCGTTTTTTTTTTTTTAACGGGACGAATTAAGGTGATTCCTTAGTAAAAGGACCTAACATAGGTTGTACATGAAACTTGGTACACTGATGTAACAAGTCAAGAAGATGATAAAAAGGTAATAAAAAGTAGGGGTCACCGTGCTTGTTTTGACGTGACAATGCTGAAAAATGCGGCTATTTAGGACCCTTTGGCTAAAACCCCTCGCAGCCCAAAAGAAGACAAAAAGGAGAGATTTTTTCGATGTTGCATGTAGTAACGCACAGAATTTGACTTTAAAGTATTGTTTATCGACTCACGTTCCAGAAAAATGCCTTTTAATGCCCTTGTTTTTACTTAACGCTCCAAAGTAGATTTAAATTGGACACTCGCTCTTCTACCAGTGATAGCTCAATCCGTGCAATTTAGTAAAATTGCCAAAAAACTGAACATAGATTTGTGCGAATTTTTTTCTCATCGAAAGGAAGCACTGTCCTGATTAAATCTTGAAATAAAAAATGGGGGTCACCGTACTCGTTTTTGCGCGTTCGAGCTACAGAAAGTGCGCACCAAATGCATTTTCTTTGATTTTTGAGAGAGGACTGGGGCGAGATTTAAAATGGCATGTGTGAAACGGGAAAGAAAGTAATAAAAAATTCGTTTTTACAGAATTTACATCGAGATATTACAGTTAGGACACAATGTGACAAAGAAAGCGTTTAAATGAAAATCAAAATGAGTAAGTACAAGTATACATCCACTAGGCGAGGTTCTCCAAGAGGAAGTCGAACTCAGCAACACGCGTACTTCTTACTTTATGCACATTCCCAACACACACAGTCTCACTTCGGTAAGAAACAACCGCAAGCAAAAATTTCAATAGAGTTTCTCTTCAGTGAACCTCATTTGAATAATGTTACTTCAGATGCTCTTTTTTTACGGTGGCCATCTTGTTATGCGCAGTAAGAGATGCGCAGTGCAAAATCAGTGAATCACCTTAAGGGAGAAATCTCTTTTGGAATGAAAATTTATTTTCTACTTTATTGATTCGTGAGTTTCGGCAGAGTAATTTTATAACACAACTGAACACTAGATTTCCTTAAAGCAAATAATAAATTGAAATAAAACTAAAAAATCTGATTGATTGAAACTAAAACATTGAAGCCAAATTGTGTACCACTACAATTACTGGCGTCTTAAATAAAACAAACATTCACTCCACTGTTAAAGCAACAATTATTTCTTTTGTGAGCACCTTCCACACATGACACGCCTGCGGATATGACTTTTGAGCATGCACATAACGATGAAAACTGTCCAAAGAAAAAGAAAAAGAAAATTAATGGAAGCAGATGTCAAGAGAGCTTCTTGCACAAGCAATAAAGGGAGTTTTATATTAGATACGTATATCTCCATCCAAAACATACCAATGTCTCCTGCATTTGATGTAATCTATTAAAAGACATTCGTGGATTTTATGCTGTGGGCTTTGGATTCCAGTTAATGGATTGCAGACTTGTCAGCGGAACTTGGATTCGGGATTCCAATCGTTAGCGGGATTCCCCCGTTTATAATGGATTCCAAAGCCCAGGTTTCCTGATTCCTACTCTAACTCTAACTCCCTATCCTATTGGATGTCGCATCGTTGACCGCACAACGCAAACGCTCTCTATCAACTGCCAATCTTCCAACTTCTATTAGTAACAAGTCGAAAACATCCAAATGTCCCTTTCCCGCTGCCTTCTCGGTCTTTCCCTTTTTCTTTTCCCATCTATCTTTCCCTCCAAAATGATCTTCTCCAATCTCTCACTTCTATTCAAATGCATGGCCAAAATACTTCAGCTTTTGTTTCTTTATTTTGATCTGTAATGAGTGATCTTGTACTTTGAGGGCGGATTCTACGAAGTAAATATTTTATGTATTCCGGAACTCTTGCAGATTACCTTACTTGGAAGGAATGCCTCCCAATCCCACGGTATAGAATACCAATACCAAATTTAGCTCTTTAGTCAACCCACCCCTGGGAAACAGTCATCTTAAAGGTTCGGTGTAAGATATTGGGTAACCTGTACATGGTTTTATCAATTTGATACCCGATTTTTTTTATTCTTCTTTGGATTCTTCAGTAATTACCGTTGTCTCTGTCTTCAGTTTTGGAAGAGGCACTCTTCTCTATTAGCCTTCCCCCCAACCCAAACAGGAGATCTATTGGAGAAATAACCACCTGGTGGGGGACCCGGTTACACACTCAAGGGAAGTTTGGGTAGAGATGTTCCACCAAAGCCTTCAAAACCTGACTCTGCTCAAACCGAAAAAAAGAAGTTCATTTTGCTACACTGTTTAAGAAAGGAGACCCTATTTTATGATCCTGAATCATTTCGTTTTGCATATATAGATATAATGGAACTAAATGTTTTGGAAAATAATTGTCGGTGCTACAAATGTAGACTGCTCA